TGCACTCCAGTCTGGGCGACAGAGTGAGACTCCAACTCAAAAAAAAAAAGACAAAAATGCAAAGATGTATAAAGGGAAAAGTGGATAAGCTAACTACCTCCTCCCTGGTCTGGCTTATGTGTGGGATAAACAAGTACATATTCTCTCCACAAAGAATGGTTTGGTCTCGTTCTACAGCTCCTACTCTGTAGTTAGACATCCTTCCAAGTAAGCAGTTCTATTCATTCCCTTTAGGAGCTGCACAGTATGGATGACCAACCATGCCGGCTGTTCCTTGTGTGTGGATTGTATGTGGATGTGCATGTTAGCCACTAAAAAGTGCTTCAGTAAAGAAAGATTTCCTTGCTGAAGCCACAAAGATAATCAATTATAAAACAGCCTCTCCCACAAAACTATTCTTGGGGCAGCATTTCAGACTTGGACAAGCTCTGCATGCCACACACTCACAGTCTCCCCTGAAGATTTTTATCCATCTCTAGCAGATCTGGCAAATCCTTCCTCATACAGCGCCGGGATCGTCCCAGAGAGTCCACATAATCCACCCTGAAATGAAAGTGAAAAGATGGGAAGGATTTGTATACAACATACAGTTCTGTAAGTCTGGGAGTAGGTGCACAGTGAAGAGATACAGGTCTCACTGCCAAGAAGAACCCCGACCTAAGAAACCACTACCACTGATAAAAACGTGCTGTTTAAAGTTAAAAGCTGGCATACAATAAGCTCATTGTGTCCTTTATTTCGTTTTAAAAACTGTTGAAAAACTGACCAATTATGTCTCTGATTTCAAAAATAAATCAGCCATGAAGAATTTTGCGGCAACATCTAGGAACTTACTTTAATCTAGTTTAAAACAATTCCAAACATTTTATCAGCATCTTAATAACTTTGCTTTGTAACCCATGTTCTCAACTTGTTCATTTCTTTGGTCTTCTCAAGTCTGACTTTTTATTCTTTCTTATGTCTTGCAATTGGTATAATTATTTTCGATGAATTAGAATTTTTTTTTTTTTTTGAGTCCGTGTCTTATTCTGTCTCCCAGACTGGAGTGCAGTGGCATGCTCACGGCCACCGCAGCCTCGATCTGTTGGGCTCAGGTGATCCTTCTGCCTCAGCCTTTCAAGTAGCTGGAACTACTTAGCATGCTACTCCACACAGCTGATTTTTTTATTTATTGTAGAGACAAGGTCTTGCTAAGTTGCCCAGGTTGTTCCCAAACTCCTGGGCTCAGGCGATCCTCTCGCCTTTACCTCCCAAAGTGCTAGGATTATAGGTGAGAGACACTGTGTTCAACAAATTAGAAGTTTCTTAATGTAGGTCAGGCATGGTGGCTCATGCCTGTAATCTCAGCACTTCAGGAGGTAAAGTGGAAAGATCGCTTGAGGCCAGCTCAAGACCAGCCTGGGCAACACAGCAGGACTGTCTCTACCAAAAAAAAAATTCTTAATGCAAAGAAAGTCATAGCCGGGCTTGGTGGATCAGCCTGTAATCCCAGCACTTTGGGAGGCCAAGGCGAGTGGACTGCCTGAGCTCATGGGTTCGAGACTAGCCTGGGCAACCTTGTCTCTACAATAAATAAAAAATTAGCTGGGCTTGCCTATGTGCGCCTATAATTCCAACTAATTGGAAGGCTGAGGCAGAAGGATCACTGGAGCCCAGTAGGTCGGTGCTGCGGTGGCCGTGAGTGTGCCACTGAACTCCAGCCTAGGTGACAGAGTGAGACTCCAACTAAAAAAAAAGAAAAAG